ATGGGTTTGCAATTTCTTTCACATCATTGCTCATTCAGGATTGCTATGATACCCAATGATCGCTTGCGTTGTTATTGTATAACTATGCTAATCTTAAGCGGTTTGGTTAAATATTTTCTCGGCATACCTCTATTTGTGAATTTAACTCAGATAACATCCAATATAGTTTGTCTGATCCAAACTATAATTTTCCTTTTGCTTTGCTGGGTTGGCATTCGGCCATTCCCCACATTCTGGCACTCTGTTCGAATGTTGGTTTCATTTTCGATGAAAACGGTACCGGGGCAGGGCCATGTTCTTCTAAAAAACGTTGGTTGTTGGTGTGGTTTCTGTGCAGTCTATTTTCTTCGATTTTGACCATTGGGATGTTTAACATTTTCTGAACTGAACGCATGATAAAATTGACAAGACTAGATGTTGTCAAAAACTTGAGAATATGCTAACAATAGGAACCGAAGGTGTGCCCCTACAAATTAGTTGATCTGCTATTGTTGTTTCTCTATATAATGTTGGTTTTGTCCAATAATTCTGTGTTGATTCAATTTTAACCTTTTGGCGTAATTTCCAGTTTTCCACAAATGTTGGCTAATGTTTACAGTTTGAATCAAACAAAAATTGTGAGATAAGTTTGAGCGTTTTTCCATGAATGGATATTCCAAATCAGTTTGGCTGATGGCATTGGTTGCTCTGCAGGTACCAAGAGTTACATTTCTGTTGTCTGGGATGCAGAAATAGACTATTTGATGTCGGTTCTTCCATTCTGTATGCTGCGCATGGGGCCTTTGATGTGAACTTGTAGGAATTAACCTTGTATATATCAGGCCCTGGTAAATGTGATGCGAACTTGTAGCAATTAACATGCCCTAGCTAACAGTAACTTGGGGTTAATCTTCTCAGCTGTTAACTGCCGTCTGTCGTTTGATCTCCGTAGGCAAGATTAGAACTGGCAGGAAGAGAAATGAACTTGCTTGAGCGTTGGCCCTGTCGCTGAATCTTGCAGTTCATTTGCTTGCATTCCATATAAGTACTATTTTGTGTGTGCACTTTCTTTTCCAGCAAGGTTTGCTCATGTCCCACAATCTCTGCTTATGCCAATGACGTTTCATTCTTTCTGTGTGTTTGAATGTGTACTCTAGTCCCACAGTATCTCTGAATTTGAGTTAACTTCAGTGTGCTGGGGAGGTTGTGTTGCCCCTTTCAAGTTTCAACCTGGGAAAATTGAATGAATCTTATTGTTTAGAAAAAGAAGTAGAGTGAATCTTGCACTGTAGAATCCTCTCTATTAAAAGCCTCTTAAAAAAGAGGCAATCTGATGAAAAGTCCCTCGCAAATTAATCTTTTCCTCAAAACCTAGCCGCTGGTTGCCTTCCCCATGGCCCTCATCGCCAGAGCTGTGATAGGGCTCGTCATTTGAGTCACAGCTCTCTAGGTGAAAACCAAAATTTCGGCTTTGCTGGAGTGGGGGTCATTGGCGTGCTCGTCGCTTCCTCCAAGAGGTGTCACTTGAGGTTTGGTCTTCATATGGTAGCGGCTTGTGAAACCGGAGCAACGGCTTTGGAAGTTACCTTCATGTTTAGGGTGGTACCTTTGAAAAGCCACCTTGTTTATGTGTTGACTTAGGCGTGGCACGTGCGAAAATCGCAGTGATCTCACGAGGGGAAAAAACTTTCGGTAAAGTGAAGTGACTATTTCTCTATGAATGCCTGATTTCGAAGGCAAGAGATCAGACTCAAATTCATCTGGCGAACTTCTGCTATTATATACAAGGACTAATATATAATTATATATTGACTGCTCAAGAACTATTTCTTTAAAACGAGACAAAACCTTTGCCTTTTTCATTAAATAAGAATAAGATTGGTGCCCAGATAATAGTAGTAAGAAATGTGTAGCACATTTCAATTGTTTTGACAAGGGTGATGGCTTCTATATAGAAAAAATAAATCGCTAGTTCTTTTCTACAAAAATTTTTCCAAATGTATCTTTTTTTATTTGATAAGTTTCTTACTATTCCAAAGAAATGTATCTTTTCTACGAACTAGATGATCACAAGTTGTTTACAAGATTTAGCATTTCAGTGACTGACTCCTTTATCCATTTCCCAAGAAATTTCCTTTTGAGCTGCATTACAAAACGGAAATGCCGTTTGGTGGCCGAGCACCATGCATGCCGTAATCTGGCTCATCAGTGTTCGTACGGATCGGCCGCAATCCCTTGTGACTCACGCGTATTTGACCTGACACCTTTTTTACACCACACCGTATTCTCCATTTTATGCACAGTGTCATCCCATGTTAACGACACTGCTCGATCAGGCTGTTCATAGGTTCCACCGACTCGCCCATCATGTATAGGCAGTGCGTCATGTACACTTCCGTGCCACAGGAATATGCAAGTTCTGAGAACATGACCATCCTCCATGATACACTAATTAGTAATTACCTTGGTTTTGGGATTAGCGGTACTAGTTCTTAAGGGAAAGTTCTCGCTGCAGGCACCTCAGATTTACCCATGATTGAGAATAAGAAACTAATTGCAATTTCTTCTGATGATTACATTTGATTTTCATAATTAAGCCACTAACCATAGTAGATTTGGCCCAACTAGTACAAAAACGTTTTAAAACATACTAAAAACAGCAACAAATGTACAAAAAAATCTTCTTTCTTCATTGAGAACTAATCATTAGACTGCCCCAAAGAATCATTCCATTACAAACATAAAAAATATTTTGGATAAATTATCCATGGATTCAACAAGCAATGCCAATTGTCTTTATTTAGTGCACACATATTTATCATCAGGTACTCACATGCCGTACATGTTCCAATGGGTGAAGTCCTTTTTCTTGGATGGGTTATTGGACTAGTCCTTAATCGACCAGATTGAACAAATATATGTTGCATCTTGTTATTTTTTACCATGCGATCACCTCACTAAAAAAATCGCAATTTTACAATCGATGAAAAGTTATGCAAACAATTTTGTAGTACCAACAACAACACTTCTAATTTTAAGTACTCTAAGTAAGTACCAAAGTCCGGTCAGACGAATCATGTCGCCGCCTCCCAACCCAAGCCGCAACCTTGGTGCCCCTCATCTTCTTGTCTGGTGGCCTCATTGGCGGTAAGAGGAGTGGGGGCCCATCCGTCTCGTTTTATTTTTCTTAGGTTTTTGCTTCTCCAACATCATCGACGAGGTGGTGGCGACAATGCGTGTTAGAATATGGTCACTATGGTCTCTCCCTACCTTGACGATGCTCGATCCGGCGCCGATGAAGGGCCTGTGAGGGGTTTTGTCCGCAGATATTTTGGTTCCCTTCAGATCTTGATAGTTTGCAAGCGTGAGGGTTGATGCTCCAGCGATTAATAGATCTCATCTCAAAGGGCGAGCCGCTATTGCCGTCTTAAAAGCCCGGTATGGCGAGGGCGTTTGCAGATGTTAGTTTTCTTTGTTGTTGGTTGAGTGCAATTTTTAAATTTCGGCGGGTAGCATACAATCAAAGGACGGATACTAGTATGTTTTTAATGTAATTTATTTTTTATGGTCGTTTTACATCCAATTGTCTATCCATTGTACTGATCTTTGTTCTCCTCGATATTAATTCAAAACTAATACGCCCTTTGAGTGTCTTTATTCAGAAAAAATAACACTTCTAATTCTCATCCAAATATGAAACATAGTTGTAGAAACAAGAATAAGAAAGATTTACATGGCCAATAAAATGGTCTGAATCCACGGCCCGGCTCTCACGACCAAAATACCAGCTTGTGTTTGTATTGTTTCTTTCTTCAACATAAACTATAAAATTAGAATTCAACTTTAACCTTCCATCTCCACAAAACGTCAAGAATATTCAACCCCAAAAAGAGATTTATTGAGAATAGGTGCACTGGATACTTTCCCCTCGAGAAGTAATATATCGGCGATGTCACTAACAAAGTGATAATCATTTTTCTATAAATTGTTTCTGAATATGGAGTGATTTTTAAAAAATATATGTGATGAACGTATTTTAAATACAAGATGAATATTTTTTATACATGTCATGGACATAATCCAAACAAATAATGAAAATATTTTCAAATTTGCGATGAACTTTTTCGCATACATGACCAATATTATTCCAATACGCGATGAACATATTTTAAATACATGTTTTCACTTCAAAATTGGTGAATATTTTTTAAATACATGATGAACATTTTCTAAATACGTGGTGAACAATTTTCATATACGTGACAAACATTTTCTTTCTGAATATGTGGTGGACTTGTTTTGAATACGCGGTGATTATTTTAAATACATGATGCACTTTTTTCAAATACACGATCAAGATTGTTTGTAATATGAGTCTAATAATTTAGCAGTGCCTTCAAAATATTTTTCACTCTTTTATTTTTTTATAAATGAATGAAATATAAAAAAACAGAACTTTTACAGAAATGTACGGCTATCGAAAAAATAAAGAAGAAAAAAAGGAATAACAACCAGCCTTGCATGTGCGGACGTGCGCTGTGATCGACTACAGGTGAGGGATAGCAGCAATTCAAACTCACCCAACGAGGCACATCATGTTCTTGCATCATCGCCCACGACGGAGGCTCACATACAAATACAGAAGACAAGAGAATGGCACCCTTGTATTTGCATCTGTATATAACTAAATGGTAAGAAAGCACGGATCCCAATTCCTCAACGTCCGCCCGGGATAGCGGCCTCCAGGCAGCTCGGCCTCCAAAACGCTCCACTCATTACAAAAGGCTTAGGATAGCCTTATTACAAAAGGCAAAAGGATTAGTTTTTTTTTAGGCAAGGCTGAAACTTCCTGCCGGGCCGCACATACCGAGAGATGATGTGGTCGTGGGCTTCCTTCTAGTGGGCTTTCACTCTCACTTGCAGGCACACTACCTGCTGCTTATCTCACGCTGTGGCGGATGCTTCGACCCCAGCATTTCGCCGCATAGCAGTAACCCTAAAAAAAAGCACGGCAGCGGGAGATGTCGCCGGCGGCGGCGCCGCCGCTGGAGGACGAAAACTTACTCTCCGAGATCCTCCTCCGCCTCCCCGCGCTGCCATCCACCCTCCCCCGCGCCTCCCTCGTCTGCAAGCGCTGGCGCCTCCTCGTCTCCGACCCCGGCTTCAACCGCCGCTTCCGCCGCCGCCACCGACGCAGGCCTCCCCTCCTCGGTTACTTCATCCACGACAGCCGAGGCATCTCCTACGAACGTACCATGGATTCCCCCGACCGCGTCCCCGCCGGGCGCTTCTCCTTGCAGCTCGACCACAGCTACGGCTTCTCGCTCCTCGGCTGCCGCCATGGCCTTGTGCTCATCTCCAACGGTACACGGAAGCAAGTCCTGGTGTGGGACCCCGTCACCGGTGACCAGCACCGCATCGCCTTTCCCCCATGGTTCGACGGGATCAAAAACCAGATTCATGGGGGAGTGCTTCGTGCTGCCGGCGAAGCGGACCACTTCCAGGTGGTCCTGGTACAGGCCACCATATGGGACAAACAGCATTTGCAAGTGCTCGCCTGCGTTTATTCGTCAGAGACCGGCAGATGGGGCGATCTTATCTTAACACCAATTCCAGCCCCGGCTTACTGTACGGGCTTGTCGCCCGTCTTGGTTGGGAATTCCTTTTACTGGCGTCTTGCTGGGTGTTTTTGTGCTGTTCTTGAGTTTGATTTGGAGAGGCAGAGCTTAGCGGTGATACAAGTGCCGGTTGGTGAGGAGAATAGCTTCGCTGTTATGCGAGCCGAGGGTGGTGGGCTAGGTTTACTCTCCGTGTCAGGCCTCACCGCACAATTATGGAAGAGGAATACCGACTGTGATGGTGTTGCATCATGGGGGATGGGAAGGACCATTCAACTGGACAAGCTACTTTCTCCTTATTCAGATGAGACTGCGCCCCTATTCATATTAGGGTTTGCAGATGAAAATAATGTGGTGTTCCTGACGGGTGGTCATGGTGTCATCATGGTACAGCTTGAGTCATTGCAATCCAAGCAACTTTGCAGGATTGACAACATTTTTTATCAACATCATCATGCATTCGAAAGTGTCTATGCTGCAGGTAATAGCATGCCTTTACACTGATGGAATGCCATTCACATCCTCTCATGCCAACCTAACAATTTTAAATAGTGCCACATATTAATTGATTGTTTTGATGTTTGATGACATCTTCAATATATATTGATGTTGTGTTGTAGTGTTCTGTCCTGATCCTGACGCTTGCGTGGTGCCGTTTTATGTAATGGTTATGAACTAGCAAGTCAATCTAGTATATGAATATCCATATGAACTGACAAGAAACACCAAAATTGGCAAATTTTCATGCTAAATTTGTTTAAAGATAATCAAAATCTGAAAAGTCATTATCACTTCTGTTGCTATTAGTGATTAGTATGAGCTTCGTTTTGTTCAAATGTTGGGGAACGAGTTTAAAAACAATTCTAGACAACTTCTCTTTTTTGTTAGTATAATAGTTTGAGCGTGCATGTTCTTTATTTTTACGATATTAATCACTATACATTGTTTGTGGGGATGCTCTTTGAATTTCACAATGACTATGGTTTTGTTATATATTACTATTGTTGTATCAAAGCTGAGTTGTGTTTTCTCAAATTACACATGTCAGTTTTAACTAAATATCGTGTTGGTGTTTTCTCGTGTCTATTTGGCCTTCGGTTGGAATTTCATTGGTTGGTTCATTGTTTGACTTATTATGCTTGTAGGAATAGGCATTGGCCGTGAACATGATGGGGCTGAACTTGTGGGCAATCCACAAGTGATTGCCTGTTAGCTATGCTTATTATGATGTGCTGGTTGAGCAGGTAAGCTTATTTTCTGCATATAAGTTGAGGTATATTGAAATGTTCTTTCGAAGAACAAATTGATTTCCTTTTAACTACTGTTTCTCAGTTACCAAATTGCAAGAGAGAACTCCAAGATTCTCTATTTGACACTTGGCTCAGTTGTTGCCCACCTGGCTACCTCATATCATGTTTTCATGGCTGGCTGCGTCTTGGATAATTTATCCATGCCGTGCTTCCTCATCCCTATCCTTACCAGCTTTCCATTCCCTTCATCATGCTTTCACTTCACCAGCTTTTCATGGCTGACTGATGTTCTCACCACTGGATGTACCCTTTTGCTTGCCCTCCTTCCATCCAGTTCCCTTGCGTTCAGTTTCTCTCCTCCTGGTTGTACGAACTCTTCTACCTCTTACTCCCCCAGTTGCTTCTGGTAGTGCGGGTTCTTCTCCCTCTACCTTCTCAGATGTTCAATTGCTTGCAATTATTATTTTCTGTACGGTTTTTTCTGTTGGTAGGTAGTACACACCCCTCGTTGTCAATGTAACTTGCATATGTGATTCGCTATTGGACACTAGTATAATTTGTCTGGTTTAAGCTACATGTAGCTATGTTTCAATTTTGACACCCTCCGTTTAGTTTTGTGTGGTATCATGAATCACAATTTTTACTTTTACTAACATACACCCTCGGTTTAAAAATACACTGCATATTAAATTTTGGTAGTACAAGCCTTTCACAAATGTTTACTCTAGTAGTTTGTAGCTTATGTGATACAAAATTATAACCATATATAAGTACTTTGGAATATGAGTCAAATGTCAATAATTTTATGTCGCATAAATATATACTAATAGTGTAACCATTGGTCAAAGGCTTTTTCTAATGAAACCTAATATGCAATGTATTTTGAAATATTAGTAGTGGTCTGGTGAGAGTGTTGTTTTTGTGATGTTGTGCTGCGTAAAAAATGACTTCTATTTTCTACTGAAGGAGTTATAAATAAATTAATAAGATAATGTATGATCCCTTGCTCGAGGCTTGTATGGCATGAATTTGATTGTATTCAATTTGTTAGTGACCAGATAGCTCATACATTTCCAAAACATATGCCTTTGAGTTAGAAACCAGAATCATCTGCTTTTCTATTCCGTGAACCCGTCATATGTCCATGATAACATATTCAATTTGTTAGTGGACGGGCTCTTAGCCTAGTGGTTGGAGCGCTGCTGCGCGTTCCAGCCAGCGCAGATTCGAACCCCGTGGGCGTTATTTGGCCATACTGGTCAATGTTGCGGGTTTGAACATGGGTCTCGCATCTTCTCTCTTAATTAAAAAAACTGCAGGGCTCCTCCTCTACTGGTCTTTTTTTTAAATAAAGAATATTGCATATGATTTGCTTAGCTAGATGGCTCAAGATTTGCCTCTATGGAAGGTATTTGAACCACTCGTCTCTTAGCCTTTACCGAGACCAGATGGCAAAAGTTAACGAGAATGCTAGCAGTAGAAGTTGATAGTGTGGCTACTTGTACACTACAAATTACCTATTGCGATACTCTGTTTCTATGCCTTTTTTCTCTTTTCCGGATAATGCTGAGATGATCGAACCTTGGAGTTATTGGTACAATTTTCATTTTGTATTTTAAAACAAAAATGTGAGATTTTATATAACTTTAATTGTTTTTTCATTAATGAATAGTACAGATTGGTTTGACTAATGATATTGATTGTTCACAGGTACCTAGATTGCTGAGATGCAGGAATTCACTTCGTGGCTGTGGGTTCTTCCATTTTGTATGCTTCATGCGGAGATCAACCCTCTACGTTGCATGCATTGTTCAACTAGCAAATGGACTTGTAGGATTAATCGCTCAATTTGCTAACTTCCCTCAGTTATCTAATTTCCGGACACAGTTAGCCAACTGGCATGATGAAGACACAGTGACTTGCTTCGAATAATCAGTACCAGTGATGCATTTGCTTTATGCTTTCCAAGCAAGCGGGTCGAAACAATCTTGCCTGCCTGCCTGGTCTTTGTGTACATCTTGTGTTATATGTTCATCTTCTCACTGTTTCCATTTGATTATGTTCCATGTCGTATCAGGTTGGGAGACTTTGATGTCAAATTTCCTATGTCCCATTTCTGTGTGTGTGTGTGTGTTTTGGTTAATCTTATCTAATTTTGGCCAATGAATGTTGGATATATATAGCAGCTGCGGTCCTGGTGCTATTTGTCACTGGATAGCTCGGCCAGCAATGCCTTATCATGCAAACATATTTCAGATGTTAGTGTACTGATATACGGAGGTTGCTTGTTTCAGATGCAGCCAAAGAGTTAATTGTACTGATATTGGGGCATCTCTAGCCGAACTATTCGAAGGGTTAACGTCTCAACATATGCTCTTTTGAGGAGTTAATCCCATTCTAGCCGACTCTCATTTGGTTTAACTCAAAAAATTGGGAAGTGCCCATCGGTTCTCAAATTTGAGCAGCTGAAACAAAGTCTCAACAAAAGATTCCTACTCTCATTTGGTTTAACTCAAAAATATTGAGAGGAAGTGTCCATCTATTCTCAAATTTGAGGAAGTCTCTACAAAAGATTCCTTTTCGGCCGATGCTCCCACCTCCCCCGGCCGTCTCCACGCTGGGTTGCCTTTGTCGGGCCCCATGCATGCCCATTGACACCCTCTTCAATCGCCACCGCAACCAGAATTGCCGCATATAGCTCATTGACGACTAGGGCCATCGTGGAGCCTCATTTTGTCGAAAACGGATTCGTTAGAGGAGCATGATGGCGTAGAGCACCCGCACTTGAGCTAAACGAGACTGGTGTCACGACCACACCGGCGTGGTGAATTTCGGGCTCTAGAGTTGGTCGCGGCTGGCTTGCTCGGCGAAGCGCGAGCACGGCTTCGAGGGTAATCGGGCTCCTCAACGCCTGCAGGCCATCCACTCGGCCCTATCGTCCACCCACAACCTTTGACGTTGCTGCACCGTGGCCCATAGAGGCTCTCACCTCCTCTACCTGCCAAGTGTTCGACGAATCTCCTTGGTACAATTTTTCACTTTTATCTTTGTTTTCTTTACTTTCTGCAGTCAAATTCATCTTTCAGTATTGCAATTCATAAATGAAGAGATTAAGGAAGATGTTATTGATGTTGCTTCGTCCGAGGAGGAGGAATAAGATGATGATGATTTTGAGATGGCCATTGTCAAGGAAGATCACAGGAGACCGAGACTATGACCTAAAATTTGGTTGCTTGTATCAATCGTGATCGGACAAAAGCCCATGCCAAGCTTGTCTGAGATTAATTTGCGCCTGCTGCAACATATCCAGAGAAGTATTTTCGAGGCGATTTTGGATGCACCGAAGTCTCTTTGAACACCATTGCAAAAGCTATTGAGGGTCATCTTCCTTGGTTTTAAACTGAGAATGAATGCATCAAGAGAAATTTGTGCAAGTCCACTGATGAAATATTTTGCAGCTTTCCAAGTGCTTGCCAATGGGTGCTCGGCCAAAGCTATTGATGACTTCCACATTGGGGAAGACACAATCATCGAGGCGGTTCGAAGATTCACACAAGCTGTGATCGAGATCTGCAGACCAGATACTTGAGGGCACCCAATGATGAAGACACTGAGAGGCTTATGGGTCTGGGTGAAGAACGATGATGGCTATGGGATGCTTGGATAAATTAATTTCATGTATTGGACATGAAGAATTATCTTGCATGATGGAAATGTCAGCACAAAAGGCAATGCACAGATCCAACCATCATCCCAGAGGCAGTTGCATCTGAGGATCTATTTATGACTCGTACTTTGGATTGCCTAACTCTCATAATGACCTTAATATCTTTTCGAGACCATCATTGTTGCCAAAGATGCTCCACCTTGCATCTATGTTGTTAATGGCTGTGAGTACACAATGTGGTACTACCTTGGCAATGACATTTTATCCTTCATGAGCCACATTGTGAAGACAAATCGAACATCCTCAAGGCCACAAGAGATTCCACTTTGTAGCACGTCAAGAGTCAGCAAGAAAGCATGTTGAGAGAACTTTTCGTGTGCTTCAAAAGCGCTTTGCGATGGATCGTGGTCCTACCGAGTATTGGAAAGCACATGTCTTTGTGACAAATCATGGCATATTGCATCATCTTGCACAATATGATCATTGTGGATGAGAGATGAATGCCAAAAAACTTTCGATATAGCCCTAATGGGGATCCTGTTGAGTCGGAACATGGTGCAAACCAGATCTGGAGAAGGGATGCACAACTAGGAAACCCACCGTAGACGCCCAATGTCGAACGGATACTATGGGGCGAAAACCTAGAGCAACACCAAAATAAAACTAGCACTATTATAGAACAGGGACCGACCACAAAAGAATCAGGTTCTAAACATAACCCATGACACATTAGACAAGCAACATCCAATGCTGCGAAATGAAGACACCCTCCAACACTAGTAGAACCTAGAACATAGCGCACAATCTTCATCTCCCTTCAACCGACCTCATGGAGATCCTTTTTAAGTTCATTGTGTTATAGTGAATGAACTCAGCTCCAGTCCTCAATGTCTTCGCGTCGCGCTGCTTTTGAAGACCTGCCCAATATATGAGAAAAGAGCACATAAAATACGATCTCAAAAGGAGTTTTAACTATCTTGTGCTCAAATGTTGCTCGATATCGAGCAAACCAAATGGCGGCAAGGCCAACATTGTGAAACCTTTCCCTGCCATGTAGGAAAGAATAACAAGAGAAATATTGCCAACCATTGTCAGGACATAGATCAGTTCCCAACACCATCCCAATGGATCTAAAATTTGCTCATGTGAGGATACGAACTCAGGACATCACCAACTGTCCTGAAGGCTGAAGCCACCCGAGCCAGCCAATGGTTGTTGTATTTGAATAGTTAAATTTGTAAACTTTGAATTTATAACATTGTTAAATTGTTTTTTTTTTCGAGCAACCGGCAGGAG